CTGAGCCACTTCAAGTGGTTCAGAGCTGTGTCGGAAGTTCGCACAGGACAGGAACAGATGGTGATCTGCACAGAACTGAGGAATTAAGTCACTGTTTTCTGCTCATTGGCAGGGCAGAAGATAACTATCGCATAGGCAAGCTTCCTACGCGATTGGTTTTCTAAACTGCTCGTTGTAATCACCTGCAAACAAAACTATGTCAAAGCACCGATTCAAACGGATAAGTTTGGTGACTTTGTCGTAGAACTCGTCTTTCTGTGCGTCAGACTTACAGCTGGTCTAGGCACACACCGAAATGATGAACAAACACCTTTTGGTGTTGCTTCCCTTCTTGACGATGATCGACCATTGGAGCGGCATCGCGCATGAGCGGGGATCCAATCAATTAGTGAGGCTTTGGCTGTATTATTGAGTACAATGTCTACTCCACGTTGGACCACAGAACAGGCTTCATTGTCACCTGGTTTGCGGAGGAAGAAACTTGAAGACAAATCCGGTGCACTTCTGTGGCTTATGATATTATTGTCATGTGGTTCCACTCACATTTGTGGGTATAATGGTTGGATTGCGCAAAGGAATATCATTGGCGGTTTCTCAAAACGGTCAAAAATGAACAAGACCTCCTAGAGTAAATGACTGTGTTGAAAAATGATAACCATAGACCGTCCCATTCAGTAACCTGTGTGCTTCTAGGAATTTTGATGACACGTTCAAAATAAAACTTTCTGTTATATATACGCCAATTTATCTATATCTAACTGTGGTTCTTAATAAACAATTCTCCCCAAGCCAAAACGAAAGCATAACACTAGGGTCCTAGATACGCGTCTCTGAGACGCAGTAGATGCCAGTTTCCCAAGGGTCTATCGCACGTGTCAGATTAGCTTGTTAACCCACCTGCATCAAGGTACTCACGTAGAAAAATCCTAGATTCAGTGATTGATGGGGATTTAGAATCTCCGGTTTATTTAGTGCTACTACTTGGTGACGAGCTTGGACGAGTGAAAAACATTTTTTAAGCGAAGTCTGATGAAATTTTACTGGTTTGATTAAGGAACAAAGGGACGGGGTTGGGTATAGAAGACAAAGAGTTAAACATAGGTGATAGTGCATACTTCAGGGAGATCAAGTTTCTATAATGGGAATGACTTAAAGGCTCATGCTTCTCTCGTCCGTATAGGCTATTCAGAAAATGTAATAATTTCTCCGTAAAATGAAATATGACATGTCACAAGTTCTTACGGTTATGGAGATAACATATAATGTATTCTTCAGTTGCTTTTCATTTTTAGTAGTTTTGGAATGTAAGGTTTGCCAGGATTTTATCAAGGTTCCGTTTAAAAGACTTAACAGTTGGCGCAAAATGGACGTGAGATGAGAGAGCTTTCCAAGTGGTGCACACTGACGGCAGAGGAATGACGTCAGTATTTCAGGCGACACTTAGGAAGAAATGACTTGAAATGATGCTAACTGAGGTCAATGTTGAGTGGAAACGTGAGCAGCGAGCGACATGAATGGTTCCGGTTCTGTGATATTTGATACACCAAAGTAAAGTCCCCTCGAATTCCATGACGTTCAGTAGAGCATAATTATCATGATTGTAAACTCTCTCCGTAGGTGAGGCAATACAATCCCTCGACCATATTGGTGGCAATCTTTTGTGGACGATCCAGCATATTACGATCATATAAACATGGCATTTAGGCTTGAATAGTGTACTCTTTATACGGTTGACGATACACTGATGGCAAACACTGGAACAATACTGATATACTAAGAGAAAAGGCACCTGGTAAGTCAACATTCTTCGCGGATTAGGGCGACGCCTTGGATCAATCGATAGGGCAACCTAACTCTTATCAAACAATGAAACTTAGGTCCCTCTCAATTGAGGCGAATGTCAATTTTTGATTTGCTAGGAAAAACGGGAATCTACTTCTGGATCGTAAGGATAGGACTTTGCGTTTATAGACATTGAATTCAATATGATTCTACATACATCACTGATACGCTGCATTAAGTGTTTCCTAATGTGATATAAAGCCCTCGAGTTGTGGTACTATTTCCGATTTTGCAGTCGTCTGCAAACAATATCGTTTTGGGCTCTAAAACGTTCGGTATACTAAATAAGGATGAGAGCAAAAGTTGGGAGCTAAGTTCAAATGGATGTATTCAGGTGTAACACTGAGAGGGCTGGTAAAAATAATTGGATTAAAAGACGAATTTAATGGAAAATAACCAGTTTCTCAGTGGCAAATGTGGAAAAGATGAATGGACGTTATTTTATGAAGTGCTGCTGGGGAATTTCTCTCACATTCTCAGGTGACTCATCGTTATATTATCACAGAATTCCGAATTAGCGGTGTCGAAGTGTCTATGAAGTTAAACTGTTAGGAATTCTCCAAAGGTAAATGAAGTAAATATACCGAGTTTATCAGATTTTGGCAGTGGTTTGTGTGATAAAGTGAAAAAAGTGAAAAAATTTTGTTATCGGGTTTATAATCAGACTGACAGAACTTGGACAGCTACCTCATCTGGAAGAGCTGGAGAAATTTGATTTTAAATG